GATACTTGTCTTTCCATTTCCTCTGAGATAAGCCAAAAGTCAATCCTTGACTGAGCTGAAAAAGTTTTGTTACTCCAGGTGTWTTGTCTGTCAAAGGGATGATGATGTCTCCATATATCCAATAAATTCCAGCGATTAGAGAAGTCCATGAGATGGTTCTGTCCATTTTTAATTCTTGASGGATGTCTATCCATCTGAGTGGACCACACCATATTAAAATCTCCTCCTAAAATAATCTTTGCTAGTGGAAATTTAACACAGTAAAATGTCATAGTGTCCTCTAGCTCCTTCAAGAAACTCACATTTAAGGATTCTGAATTATATACGTAAATATTGCCCAATAAAAAGGTGAAAGAATTAAATGCAACCACTAAAAAAAATCCATTGACCCTTTTTATCAGAAGCGACGTCTAAAAGTTTACCTTTAAAGTTATGTTTTAATATTGCTACATTTGCTGACTTGTTTGAACCATGTGATAGCCATATATCTTTGCCCCATTGATTTAACCAAAAGGTTTCATCTTCTGAACATGARTGGCATTCCTGTAAAAAAATAAAATCAGCTTTTGCCTCTCTAGAAAGAAAGCTTTTCTTTTTATATTACGCAGACCCCTTGTATTAACTGACAAAAATGTTAACTCCAGAACACCTTTTCTTTATAACCTTTAAAGAAAAGTAACTTCAGAGAAARTCAACCRTTTGAAACGACTCCTATAATAAAACTTGAAGCCACAAACTAAACAATTTAAAATGGAAGTGATTACTGTTGAATAAGAAACGTCACTGTCCAGTTGCAAGTCGAATTTCTTTTCCATCCACGTAAGCTCTACGTCCCACGAAGTAGGCCCTCTTTCCATTCTTGTGAGCCTGTTCAATAACAGGCCACAAAGCAGATCTGGCATCCTTGTCTTCCTTGGTCAAATCGTCACCAAAGCGAAGCTTGTTCTCTTGTAGGTAGCTGTTATGTTTAGCACTCTTCCAGATGATGTCCCTCACTGAGCGGTAAGCAAASAGGATGATGACCACTCTGGTTTTTCCGTCAATCTGCTTCCCCAGTCGATGAGCTATGTCGATTCCTTCAGCAGCTTTGGATCCTAGATCAGGAGCGATTTTGTGACAGATGGCCATGATCTTCTCCTTCACATCTTTATTTTTTTTTTTTCAGATTATCCACAGACGTAAGCACCATCTCCGCTTGTAACGCTCTGCATCTGCAACACGCTCCTGCAACTCTTCTATTTGTGTTTCCAGCTTCTCATTTTTGTAATTCAGCATGCAGTTATCCTTCTTTAGTTCTTCAATTTCACCATACATGAACTCAATAGATGTTTTAATATCTTTGATTTCAGCCTTTACCTCCTCTGCCCGATCATTTACTGCTTTCAGGATGGAGTGTAGGGAAGGTTCAACCTCACCTCTGCAGGATTTTTTTGGAGCTGGGCTGTTGCTCGGAGAGTCCGAGAGTGGCGCGAAATCAGAATCAAAGTCCAACTTTGAGGCSTTGTTTCCATCAAAATAGTTGTGATCATTCGTCTTGTTCACTTGTGTGACTGATGTCCTACTCTTTTGCTTGTTTTCTTCTTTTTTCCATGATCACTCATCTTTATCTTCTGTCGAGTGCTTTAACTAGCTTACCCGATAGCAGAGTTTAGCTAACTTGCTAACGATGTCTTTCTTTTCATAAACAAGTGGCTTTTACCTCACTTWGATGAGATCCGGGTATGACAAGATATTTTATGAGCRCAYGCCTGTGACCCCAATAGAAAAGCAGCATATGAGTCTAGTTCCTTTCAAAATTAGCTCTGCCAAATTTAAATACCTTGGTATTTGGATYACTCACAGTAAAGATCTTWATACWGCAAACTTTCTGCCTCTCCTGGTGAACCTTAAGAAGGACATCACTACATGGGCATCCCTGCCTCTATCCCTGGGCRGTAGAATCAACATGATCAAAATGACAATATTGTCCAAATTACTTTATCTATTTCAGAGCGTGSCAGTGTTCCTCACCAGRACTTTCTTTACAAATTTAAATAGTGAGTTGTCGTCCTTTATTTGGAATAACAAACATCCACAGATAGGCAGTAAGATGTTACAGTTACCCCATGGTCTTGGTGGCTTGTCA